GGGGCTCCCAGTTCCCAGGGGAGCTAGGCAGGAATGGGTGTGGCAGACTTGGTACTGAAGAGAGAGGACAGACCAGCAGGGGTTCCAGGCCTAGCGGAAGAGAAAGGGGACCCAGGCCAGGCAGAGAGGCAGCCCTGGACCTCACGTGGAGGATGGACCGTGGAGATCCAGTCACAAACCCCTCCAGGCACCGGTGCGAGGCGACGCGGGTGAGCCCTGAGTTAACCAGAGACCCTGCCATCCAGGCTCACACATCAGGATGTCTTGGTGCCAAAGACAAGGGTGAAGGGGAGGACACGCCGAGAGCTAAGGGCCCGAGGAAGGAGACAGTAGCTGAGTTCCCCTAGGAGCAAGGCGGAAAGCAGAGCTAGGAATGGGGACCGGGTGAGCCGCGGGAGGGCGATGGGGGAACAATGAATGTGCACAGAACCTTTGCCTCTGACTTGCATCAGGCCACAAGGTCTCCTTTCCTGCAGGTAAAGAGCCCTGAGAAGGCGGCTCCTGGGGGCTGAGACCTTACCCCTGCAGGAGACTGCAAATGCAGGGCTGAGAAGCTGCACATTGGGACCTGCAACCCAGGGAAGCGGGGTGCACTGGGGCCAAGAGAAAGTTCAGACTCAGAACTGGATTCTCCAACCCCACATTCTGGAAAACATTGAGGAAAACACCTCAGCTGCTGTGAAATCACCTTAAGTACCCTACTGTCAGGGAGCAGAAATTGAAGGCTATCCTGGAAGAAGGGGTAGCAGACCCCCATCCTCACAACAATGGCATGGGGAGGCCTCATGGATGGCAAGGGGAAGGCAGCTGGGCTGGGTGAGCCTGAGCCTGAGCCAGGCTGGGGGACCCTAGGCCAGTCCCAACTGCAGGCCTGAGATGACAGAACTTGTGAGATTCCAATACCTGCTCCTCTGAACCCTCCCCCACAAACCTGCCCCCCACCCCACCACGGTGCAAGTTCACAGTGAAACTTCCCTCAGGAAGCAGGACACGAGCTGCTTGGGAAGAGCCAGTGAGCAGAGGGAGACCACGGCCCAGGCTGCGGCAACTTGGGACAGCAGCACTGAGGCGGCTTGAGGGCAGCTTGGAGGGGACGGGAGGCCAGCTGAGGCTCCAGCCTGGGCCCTTCCAAGGAGCCCCTCCCCCCAGTCCACACCAACTCCCAGGGAGGCAAAAGGTATCAGGAAGGGTCCATGGGCCGAGAGCCACCAGGGCCACAGGGACTGCTGACCCCGGGGCGGGGCCTGCCGAATGCCTCCGTGTGGCATCACTCGCGGGGGAAGAGCTCAGTGCCTGGGAGGCCACTCCAAGTGCCCCTGTAGCAATCCGGGCTGAACCCAGGGGCTGCCCAGAGGAGGGTCTGCAGCGGTTGGAGAGCAGGGGTCTGGGAAGAGAGGGGGAGGGGCTCTGCCTCCTGGGAAGTCACGGAGGCTGGGGCTTGGAGGTGGGCTCCAGGCTCCCCCCGCCCGAGCGAACGTTTGGCAGTTCAGCCTGAGGTCACTAGATGAGGGCCCGAGCTCCGTGCCTGCCCAGAGAGACATCTCTTGATCCCTGAGAAGGCGCAGGCGTGGTTGACAGCTGTGGAGAAAAGGGCAGCAGACTGGTGGCGCGGGGAGGGCGGGGGACAGGCAGGTAAGGGGGCCCAGGTCAGGGGCCCAGCGAGGAAAGGACAGCAGACGGGTTGGAAGAGGCAGGCAGTCTGGAAGTTGTCCTCGGCAAGGCCAGGGGACCTGCTTAGGGTCCTCCCGCATCACCCCAACCCTCTGAGGGCAGTTAGAGGCAGGCGTATGAGAAACTGGGGCCCTCGGATACTGACTAGGTGGCGTAATCCCAGGAATCAGCTGAGACTTAAGTGATGACCCAATGTCCCTCCACCCCTAAGGTCTGGATCCAGTGATGGAGGCCTGGACACCAGGAAGGGGAGCAGGGGCACATGGCATACGGGCTGCCAGGTTTCCAGCGTGGAGAGGCCACGAGGCCCCCCAGCCGGCTAGGCTTGGCGGTGAGAGGCACACTGACACTTCAGTTCCCTGCTGGCCCACCCTGTCTGGCGGACACACTTCTTTTTTCCTTGACCAGGGGCGGGCATTGCCATAACCCTGAGTGTGAGGCTCTGGTGAGAAAGGGAGACGGAAACCAGGTGCCAGAAACTGGAGGCGCTGAGACTCCAACTTGCAGAGGGAGGGGTCGGCATTCAACAAAGACCTTGGCCCTGTTGTTTTAAATAAGAAATTTATTGCAAATATAGAAATTGATTCTCTCCATACAGGAATCTCCGAGTTGAGGAAAACAATTTCGTGCCATTCGGTTTAAAACAGGAAATCGGGAGGAAGGGGAGGCAGATATAGGGAAGAGAAAATAAATGAAGTCCCCCCCCGACCCCGAAAAGAAGAAAAGGACAGTTCAGGCCCCACCGAGGGAGGAAGGGTCCACACACAGCTAGGGTTCACAGGTTCGTAGCCCGGGGCCAGGAGCCCAACTCTGCAGACCCAAACCAGGTGCCAGGCGGCAGGGCAGGGCCGAGGGGCTGGCGGCTCCTTGGGGAGGGAGGAACCAAGAGTGGGCCCCTCGGCCCTCCCCAGCCCTGTGCTTGTTTGGCGAGAGGCAGGGGAAGGAGAGGCCGCCCAGACCCTCTCCCCGCACCCCATTCGACCCCCCTTCCTCTCCCTACTGCTGGGCAGCAGAGGTGTACCTTTAACAGGGGGGACTCTGGAGCAGGCGTGAGAACAGGAGTCTATACACTGGTTCTGCCTTAAAGGTGGGAGGATGGACAGGTGGCCGTGGAACAGAAGTCTTCGCAGAGAGGAGATCAGCGTTGCGGTCAGGCGAGCCCCAACCTTCACACTGGCCTGGCGGGCAAGCTTCAGCCCTGCCCCTTAAGCCCCATGGGGGCCGGACACCCCAGGGCTTCCCCATGCCTTGACCACCCAACCCCCCCCCCCACGGAAACAGAGCCCCGCTCCCTCAGGAATGGGGTGGGATGCTGCTAAGCCGTGGGGTCCTCGCAGGGCAGGGCCAGGGGAGTGGGGGGCACCCGAGGAGGTACTTGGGGACACCCAGCTCCTCCTACCCTACTCCCTCCTGCTCCCGTCTCACCCTCCCACGGCCGGCAGTCTAGTCCTCAGACTCTGTCGTTCAGAGAGCTCGGCTGCCGGCCACCCCTGCCCTGAGGGCTCCCCAAGGTCCTCGCCCTCCGTCGCCCTATTTTAATTCTCCGTGCAGTGCCCATCACTGGGGAACAGTTTGAGGTTGTCCCGTCACTGCATGTAGGCCCCTTATAAGCCAGGACCTGTCACTCTTGTCTCCCATGCCCGGGCCCCTTTCCTGGCCTCAGTCTGTCTTTAACTGGTTTCGAGACCTTAGAAGCTTTCTTTCCTTCCCCTTCCTGTGCCTCTGTTTCCCCCTCTGTTAAATGCCCAGGACGTGGAGTGGGGCAGGTGAGCGACTTCCTGCTGGGAACCATCAGAGCCCCTCGGCCAGGCCCAGCCTCTTCACCCTGCCTCTCTAGGGCTCTCCAGACCTACTCTCCCCAAGCGGGTCTTTCCACTCCCACTGCCCCGCACACAGTCCTTTCCTGGCCTGGACACACGCCACCACCGTCTTCCTGCTCTGTCCCCTAGGAGGGGTCAGAGGCGAGGGGCCTTCGGGTGGCCAATACAGGCCCCTCCTGCAGAGGGGAGAAACAAGCCTGGGACCCCCAAGGAGGCGGCCGCCCCAGACTAAGCTTTCTTCCTGCCAGACCTCCGCTTTTCACTTCTGGAAGGCCATTAGCTCCAACAGAGGGTTCGCGGCCCCTACCTGTGCTCTCCAGGACAGCATGGACCCACGGATGCCCCTTCCCAGGAACAGGCGCCCAGAAGGCTCGAGAGATTCTGTGATAAGGGATGGCAAGCCTGGGCACGACCCAAGGCAGGTCCCAGGAGGTCCAGGATGCGGCACTCACATCTCCTCCAGCTGGCTCGCCCCCTCCACTCCAGCAGGTTCCTCGTTCCTCCTCCCCGGTACCTTCCCTTCTCTCCTGGTTGCCTGCCCTCCTGGCCCGCCCAGGCCATGGCCCAGGGCCACCGTGCTCACCTCCATTGCAAACACAGGACCGGGGCCAGCCAGACTCCTTGACATAAATGTTCGTTTGACTTCCGTGACTATTTCGCCCTGCCCGCCCCCCGAGGAAAAATTATCCTGAACAGGACACAGGACACAGACGCAGGAAGGCCTCCAGGGTGAGCTACAGTGCAGTGGCCCCCTCCCCAGAGCTACGGCCTGGCCTGGGCAGCTGGAGGACCATCTTCTTCCTCAAAGATCTGTACGACCTGGGCTGTGAATGTCGGTTCACCTCCTGGGAGTGGAAGACCCTTGTGGTTAAGATGGAGATCTATCCTTTAGAGCGCCCTGAAGCCGGCCTGTCTGAGGTTTTTACAGGTCATCTTCAACCAGGAATGATGGGGGAATGAAGGCGGCTCTGTCTCCAGTGAGGCCAGGCCAATGTCACGGGGGGGACCCCTCCGCCTATAGGTTCCTCCCTCAGGGCCCCAAACCTCCCCGTAGGGCCACCCATGAAGCCCCAAGCTCTGGGCTTCCTGTACTCAGCAGTGTGCCTGACCCTCCCCACCCGGCAGCCAAATCACCAGACCCCCTCCCTCTTCGGGGGCCCCGACTTCCTCATCTGCAAAATGGGAGCAAGTAGGACAGAGGAGAGGTCCCCCCACGCCCCCTTGCCCGGGGCTGTCCTTCCCGAGCAAGGAAGAGGCCAAGGGGCGAGGCCATGTGGGAGGAGAGGAGGCGGCACTTGTGGGCCCAACATCCGGAAAGATAGGAGGCGGGTGTGGGGCGGGGGCTGTGTTTCGCTGGTACCTGTTTTGGGTCTTTTGCAGAGCTGGCCCGTCCCCACGTTTCAAGAGCTGCTTGTCAGATCACAACAGAGGGACTGTGGGAATTGGGGGGGGGGGGGGGGGGGGGGGGGGCAAGGGAGTCTGGACAAACTGGCACATACACGACAGATGTTTGCTCAGAAAAATACAGTAAAATCGTCATGCAAATATAACAGGGAATCTGCTTCCTCACATCACTGGCTTCTCGGCCTGCTTGCTTTTCTGTTTTGCCAATCCGGTCTGAGGAGGGGCTGGGGGGCAGGATTTGGGGAGCCGGGGGAGGCCTGCTCTGCACATCCATGCTGGCCCCCTCCCCTCCGCTCCCCAGGAGAACAGTCCTTTCCTTGCAAACGTCACCCCCAAAGTGAGCCCCGGGCTTGGTCCGTGCCCCAAGTAGGTGTGAGAGGGGCTGGGTTGAGCCCTGAGGTCCCCTCGCCCTCCACGGTCCTCCCCCAGATCCTACAGGAACGGCACTATAGCTTCCCTGTCAGAATGCCCCCCGCAGTGCAGGTCTGGTCCCCTCCCAGCAACCACCCTCACCCCACGGTCACACTCCCCAAATCTCAAGAAACCCAACTGGGTGACAGGCCAAAGGCAGGAGGGTGGGGAGAGCCAAGTGGGCTCCATCCCCGCCTGCGGTGGGTGAGGCACCAAGGGGCACACTGGCAGGTGGGCAAAGCTACAGTGTCTCCGCCCCCCACGGGCCCACCTCCCATCCACAGGGGAAGGGACGGCCGACTCCAGCCCCTCAGCACCCTGACAGTGTTCAAGACCCCACGGTCTCAGGAACCCAGACCCACCCCCTTACAGCGCCCCAGGAAGCCCCTAGCTCTTGAGAAAGGCAGCCACCCCCTCTGGCCCTACCCTCTCTCACCGCCCTCTACCACCCACACTGAGAGAGAGAACCCCCAAGAGGCCAACGGTCCCAACTGCCAGGCTCTGGGTTGCCATGGCAACAGAGGCTGGCCAGGGACGGGAGGGGCCCCGGGAATCCAGCCTGCTCCTTCCCAGCAGGGGTGAGGTGGGAGTGCTCACCATTTGTGCTTTGTTCAATGTAGGATGGGGGTCAGCAAGGGAGGAGTGGCCATTTTCAGGGAAACATGGGAGCCCCTCAGGCCAGGGGGGTGGGGCAGGGATAGGCAACCAAGAGGGGGTGAGTGGAAAAGCTCCGGAAAGCCCTCCTTCCTCTGGGCAGGCTGAGATGCTGCCCCGAGGGCCGTGGCGGGGAGCGGGAGGGGGGATCGGGCCGGTGGGAGGCCAGGATGCAGGGGCAGAGGCAGGAAGGCCCCCATTAGATCCCACCTCCCCACTGCTCCCAGGCATCACAGTATACTGCTGCCCTTCTGGGACGAGCAGGGCTCCTGGAGGCCCAGAGAGGCTGGCGGGCCAGGGCATGGGGCCTGCACCTGAGACGCGGTGGCTGCTGGCTCAGCCGCTCTCCTCAGACCCCATCGGCAGCCCTCAGGCTACTTGGAAGACACTTGAAGGGGGCCGGTGGACCGTCCCCGTACCTGCTCCTCCCCTGTCCACAGGACCTCCCACCTCTCCTGGGTGCTGGCGGCGGGGGTTGGGGGGAGGGGGAGTGTGTATGGTGCAGAGGCCCCTGTACATGATGAATCACAGCTCCACGCTCGGGAAGGGGGGGACGTGGCCATGGGGCTTTCTAGAAAGGAAAAGCACCCGCCTGATTCTCACGTGCCACAGCCCCAGGAGACCACAGCTCTAGAACAGGTAGTGGGTGAACCGAGGGTGAGGGCCCCGGGAGAGCTCCTGGGGCTGGGGGATTGCACGGGGCCGGGAAGTTGGGAGACTTGACTCTCGCCTGCCACGTGACCCTGGGGTTAGCAATTCCCTTCTCTGGGCCTCGGTTTCCCCATCCACAAAGGACGGAAACGATGCCCACTGTCCACCTTCTACTAAATCTCCACGTGACCTGTCCCCCAGCCGGGGGGACCCGCTCCCTGCCCCAGGGGGGGCTTCGGCCCATCCCCGCCCCGGGCTCCTTTGCCCCCAAACCTGTCCCTAGTCCCAGAGCCCCAGACCCCACCCCCTCTTTTGGCTTCCTCGCCTGCCCGCCGGCCCCACCCAGCACGCACACCCTGGCAGAGTCCCTGGGCAGCACAGTAGAGACGACTGGTTTCAGTATCAGTGTGTAAACTTTAAGGTGAACATGTCTTTGTTTTCCCGTCTGGTATTGTCGGGTGGTGGTGGTTCACAGTCAGGTGGTGGTCAGGTGTGTGCGTGGGTGCGTGCGTGCGGGTGTGCGTGTACGTCCACTCCTTGGCCTCGGCCCCCAGCGCGCCCCGCCCGGCCGCCCGGGCCCTTCCCCGCGTGCCCCTGGCCCTCCCCCTCCAACCTCACCAGGGAGGAGAGGGTCACAGCTTCTGCTGGGCCGAGACCCCCTTCCAGTAATCGAGGATGTCGTGCAGGTCCTCGTCCTTGGCGAACTGGACCTTCTTGCGCAGGGCGTGGCCGGCGGCCATGTACACCTCCTCCCGGTGGTGCTTCTTGTAGGGCCGGAAGCGCTCCCAGATCTTGTGCGTGCTCTCGGATGAGTACTCAGGGCTGGAGGAGTAACCTGAGTAGTAGTGTCTGGGGGAGAGCTGCGAGTAGGTGGAGTCCCGCTTGGTGCGGGTCAGCGGCTTGAGGAAGGACACGCGCTGGCTCAGGCTGTCGGCGCCCTCCTCGTAGTACAGGGCCGGGAAGCTGTGCCGGTGCTCGCTGCAGTGGTAGGCGGGTTTCACCTCCAGGTGGTGGATGCCGCCGCCGCCCCCGCTGCTGCTCGCTGGCACCAGCGGGAGCCGGTCCAGCGGGCTGTTTAGGGGGCTGCCCTTCTCGATGTACTTGGAGTCGCCCTTGGCCAGCCCCGCGGCGGCCGGATGATCCGGCACGTCAAGGCTGAAGACCTTGGCGCTCTTGACGGAGCCGCTGGAGGAGACGCTGCAGGTCTTGCGGGCCACGGCGGCATCGGCGCTCAGCTGGCGCTGCAGCGGGTGATGGGAACTCTCCTTGTAGGGAGGTGAGAGGAAGCTGGGCCGCTCCAGCCCCCCAGGGGTGGCAGTCGAGGAGGTGGTGGAGGCCGCAGGGAGGGACTGGCATTCGAAGGCCATCTCAGGGTCCCCGCCACCGCTGCCACTCCCCAGGAAAGAGGCCGAGTCCAACTTGAGGGCATCGATGCAATTGTTAATGATCTGGTTGACCTTGTCCACCTCCTTGGCGATGGTGGAGATCTCGGCGGCCGAGCCCTGGCCGTTCTCCAGCTCCGGGAGGTCATCCTCGGGCCGGGCCAGGCCATCGCCGCCCGTGCCCGTGCGCACCTCGATGTAGTTGCCCTTGGTGGCCACCTTGGGCGTGTCCAGCCCAGCTTCCAGCCCCTTGGAGGTGGTGGGCTTCTCCCCGATCATGGAGGGGATGGAGGACATTCGGGACACGGGCAGCACAGGGGGCTCGCCCAGCTTCTGGGCGGCGTGGACGACGGAGCCGGCATCCACGTCGGCCCCGTAGCGCATCTCCAGGATGGTTTTCTTGACCTTGACCGACTTCTGCTTCTCCTCCTGCATGCGCCGCTTGCGCAGGCAGTAGTAGACGGCTCCCAGCACGATGACCATGCCGAAGAGGCAGCCCAGGATGGTCATGATGTAATGGGTGGTGGTGGAGGTGCTGGGCGCCAGGTCGCCCGGGACCGGGTCCCTGGTGGTGAAGGTCAGGCAGGTGTGGTTGAAGCGGCGGCTGTTGCGCAGCGAGGTCACGCAGAAGGTGTACTCGGTGTGCGCCCGCAGCTTGTCCAGCGTCACGATCTCCTTCTTGTTCTTGAGCGTCATGACGTCGGAGAAGTAGCTGTTGTTGTACTGAACCAGGACGTACATCTTGCTGTAGGGGTGCGGGATGATGACCACCAGGGTGGCCGAGGTGAAGGTGACGTGGTGCAGCTTGATGGCCGGCCCCGCCGAGGCGTCCGTGGTGGACGAGGCCGGTGGCTCCACCGAAAGGATCTCGTCGGGGCTGAAGCCCGAGTTCTCGTCGGGCTCCCTCTGGGCGTCGGTGGAGTAGGGCGTGGGGTGGCTGGCGGGCCGGGCGGGCAGCGAGCCGTTGCGGCACTTGGCCTGCAGCACGGTGATGGCGTTGAGGCTGTGGTAGGGCCGGGGCACCAGCAGCGGGTAGCCGGCGAACTCGCGCGGAGACTCGCACTGCAGGCGGTCGTAGTTCTTCGTGACGTTGTTGAAGACCACGAGCCAGGCCAGGAAGCCAAAGAGGTCGCACTCGCAGTTGAAGGGGTTGCCGGCCAGCTCGCACACCATGAGGCTGGCCAGGCTGGCGAAGGTGGCGCCGTCGAGGCGGCTGAGGCGGTTGGAGGACAGGTCGATGCTGATGAGGCTCGGGCACTCGGAGAAGGCGGCGGGCGTCACCACCTCGATGAGGTTGTGCTGCACGAAGAGGAACTGCAGGCGGCCCATGCCGCGCAGCATGCCCTCGGTCAGGTTGCTCAGCTTGTTGTAGCCCAGCTGCAGCACCTGCAGGCTCGACTGGCCCAGGAAGGCACCGTCCTCGATGTAGGAGATCTCGTTCTTGGTGAGGTTGAGGTCGGTGAGGTTCCCGAAGCGGTTGAGCGAGGAGTAGAGCACGGCCTTGAGCTTGTTCTCGTTGAGCCTCAGGTCGTGCACGGTGCTGTTGATGTGCTGCGGGATGGTCTCGTAGGGCGGCTGGTTCTGGCTGCAGATGGCCAGCCACACGTAGCCCTTGTCGCCCTCGATGAGCCAGCAGTCGGCGCGCACGGCGCCCGGCCGGCACACGCACAGCAGCGCGGCCGCGCACAGCCCCAGGCGCAGCATGGCTCCGGCCGCGGCCTCCTCACAGGCCGGGCTTGGGGTCGGGGGCCGGGGCGCAGGTGGCCTAGCGGCCAGAGGCTGGGGCCGGCAGCACAGTCCTCCCTGGGGCCGCCACCATCTTGGGGGCGACCCCCAGCTTGGGGGCCCCAAGCGAGGCAGGCAGAGCCGGTGCCAACTGTTGGGGGCCTGCCGGAGTGCTACCCGCAGGAGCCGGGCGCCACGGCCAGGCCAGGGCCACGGGGCTACAGGCCCCACAGTCTGCTTCCCCGAGGTGCTCCTCTCCTGCCGGGAGGGTGCCCGGGCTCTCAAGGCTTGCCTTCCTCTCCCTCCTCCTCCTCTTCCCCCTAGGGTTCTGGGCTCAGAACTTCAGACGATTCCCACGGAAGGCTGGAGACTGGAGCTCTGAGGGGGGAGCGCGAGAGACGGGGACAGGAAGGAAGAGACCCATCTGTCACCTGGTTCCTGAAAGGCAGCACCAAGAGGGGGTGACAGATCAGTGTGAAGGCTCAGAGCAACCCCACTATGCTCCAGTGCAGGCCCCCAGTCCCTTTTCCACCCCCTCCCGAGGGTTCCTGCGCCAGCAGCACTCTGGGTCCCTGTTACATAAAAGAAGGGGGGTGGTGGGTGGCAAGAGGGGGAGGAGGGGGCCGCAGGACATGGAAGGAGAGAGACCAAAGAAACAAGGGAGGGGGAGGGAGGAAGGGATAGAGTCTGGAGCCAGTGGGCAAAGAAGGGAGACTGGAGAGTTAACAGGCCCGGTGCATACACACACATGCGCGCACACACACACAAACACGCCCCAGCACGCTAGTGTCCACACTCGTCCACCTGCCTGCACAAAGACCTACAGGCCCCCACATGAGCCAGAACTCCACGGCACGCTCACGTCGACAGGTGTATACACACACGCACACCTGCAGTCTTGTGTACGGACAACAGGCCCACACACGCGTGGCCACGCACCCAGCAGCCACCCTCCGATCCAGAGAAGAATTAAGATGCCCAGCAAAATGCCTCCTCTCCTCCAGGCCCAAAGATAAATCATTCATTTGTTGTGTAACTGCTGCTGTTCCAAAAATAATTCCCTTGTCTCGGCTTCCATGGGGGAGGGGGAGCAGAGCAGCATGGCCGTGGGACCCCAGGCAGGGGGATGCATAGAGGCTGGGGTCTCCCGCAGTGGGAGGTCACAAGATGAGCTCATCCTGCAGGCGAGAGCAGAGCCAAGGGAAAGAGAGGGTGAGAGTCTGGGAATCCAGACACACCCTCCAGAGCCCCTCCGCAAAGCGCTTTCCGGTAGGGGGCGCGGATCCTGCAGGGGACGCCTCAGGCAGAAGAAGCCAGAGGCCTCCGGAATCCCGTGACCGAAGCCCGGCAACCCCTCAGTGGCTGGGAGAGTCAGAGGCCCAGAGAGGAGCAGTGACTTGCCTAGAGACACACACCACAGCCTGGGCCAGGATGAAGGCTACCGAGCCAGCAGGAATCCGGAGGCCTGGAGCCCCGCCCACCCTGCCTGATTGGCCAGGTGGAGCACACCACCCCTGAGTCTGTTTCCACAACTATGAAGTAGGGGACCAAGCCCCTGCCTGGCCATCTGATGGGGGAGAAGTAAGGTGAGCCATGCTGCCCGTGCTCAAGATGAAGAGGGTCAGTGGGGGCAGTGCAGGGCTCCCAGCCCACAGACCCTCATTTTCCAAGTGGGGAAACTGAATTTCAGTCTGGGGTGGGCTTGCCCCGGTCACTCAGCAAGCCAGACACAGCCCCTCATCCAGATCAGTTTCTAACTCACACCCAGTGCTCTCCTGACCGCGAGAAGAACTCGGTCCTCCCTCCCTCCGCCCTGGGCACTGGCCAGGGATGTGAAGATTAGGCCAGAGAAATCCATGTTTGGATAAAGAAAGCAGAAGACTGTTCACAAGGCCCACCTCTGCGTCCTGCTCCTCCTCCCGGGAAACTCCAGGAAAAAAGCACTTTAAGAAAAAATGTGGAACCTCTGCTGTCAAAGCGAAACCAATTTACAGCCCTGAGTCCCAGAGGGCTGGGACGGAGGAAAGGGAAGTGGAGAGGGAGAGAAGCCCCCAGAGAAGCCCAGGCAGGCAGTTTTTGTTGAGGTGGCAAGTGAACAGGGCGTCCAGGTGACCCCTCGGGTGAAAGGCTGATGCAGTGTCAGAGGCTGTGAGGATCAGGACCTCCAGGGGGGCCCGCCTCACACCTCCCCGTCCCCTGCAGGACCAGCTTAGGCTGAGAGGCCGGACGGGGGCAGGGAAGGGGGCAACCACGAGGCTGTCGGCCAAGAAGGGGGCAAGGACAGGCAGCAGAGAGCGTTTCTGTCCTTGGCTGTGCCACGAAAATTCTCAGGGCTGGATTCGGGAGACCAGGGCTCCCATCCGACGTGGCCGCTGGCTCCCAGGGGGCCTCAGGCCAGACCTACCCCTCCGGTGGCTTCAGTTCCCCTCCCCCTCAGGCAGCGAGGCTGTAATGGAAGAGGCTGAGTTGCCAAGTTTGCCCTATCAGAGAACCCTCCGTCTGCCCCTCCTCTGGCTGGGAATGTCTGGGGACCGCATTTGTTTGCAGGTGACGCGCAGGTGTGCGCTGGCTCAGAGCACTGGAGCAGGGGCGTGCTGACGTGTACGAGTAGACGGGTGTGCAGGCCGGCGGCTGTGCACACACATGCCCGTGTGCACAGGATGTGTGCCTGCCTGGCCAGCTACAGGAGTGAACGTAGGAGTGAACGAGGGCGTGCCTGTGTGTGGAGGGATGGGAAGGGATGCATGTGGAGCGTCTCTGGGGAACACAGGCCCGCACCTGCCTGTATGTCGACATGTTAAGCACATGTGTGGCCCACATGAGTACGTATGTATGTATACGCACATGAGGAACTTGAGCCGCATCGAGCCCCCTCATCCTCAGATCTGAGTTGCTCAAACCATCACCCGCTCGGCCAGACCCAGCAGCTGTCAGGCTAAGCTGAGCTGGCCAGACTCTTGGAAATCCCAGCCCATGCTGAGGGTGTAAGAAGAGGCGAAGGGGAAGGGAGGGGAGTAGGAGAAGGCGCCCAGACTTGGAGAGGCTGCACTAGTCCAGTCCTGCCTCTTCCCTTCCCAAACAGTTCAGGGGGTACAGTGGCCCCCACGCCCCGAACCTAGCCCCTCTGAGCGCTGCCCAACTGGGCCCTCAAGGTGACCCCGCCCTCTCTCCGGCTCCCCCCACTCCCCCCCCATGACTCAGAGTGGGGAGGAGGCTCCCCCTCTCCCCATCCCGTGTGCGTCAGCCGCCTGTCCCTGTCCCTGGGCTGCCTGCCCACCACCTGTCGAGGCCTGACGCATCCAGGGACGGGGGACAGCAAGGCCGCAAAGGCGCTGACAGCAGCACTTGGCCCCCCGCCCGGCTGCACACCCACTCCAGGTGTGGGGAGGGGCAAGCCGGCCGCCGAGCTATCAGACCTGGGGCTGAGGGTCCTGGGGGTCAGGCCTTCCCCTGCTCCCACGGGAGTGATGCCCCAGCCCAGACACCAGTGGCAAGAACAGGGCCCTACCCACCCCAGCACACCTGGGGGCTAGGGAGAGACAGAAAGGAGGTGAGGGAGCTGCAGACAGGAGGCGAGGGCTGAGGAGGAGGGAAAAGCCAAAATCTGGAGAGAGCTGAGCAGGGAGAGGCAGAGGAACAGAGAAAAACGGAGAGGGCGCGTCGGAGACAAAGGAATCGATCGGCAGAAAAGCACAGCAAAGCACAGCGAGATGACAAATACGGGGGGGGGGTGCGAGGGAGGGGACACAGTGCCTGCCGGCCCCCCCCCCCCATCCAGGGGTCAGATGAGCACTGGGTCTGGCTGAGCCACCGAAGTGCGGCCTGTGAGCAGCCCAGGAAGGGGGTGGGGAGCGGCAGGGAGCAGGTGCTGGAAGCAGAGGCCTCTTCTGCCTAGGACCCAAACGGTGCTAAACCTGGGAGGGCGTGGCCACCCCGGAAGCAGGCTGTGGGCCAGTGGCCAGGGCACCAGGGCGTGAGGGGGCAAAGAGCAGCGCTCCCAGGGGACCTGACCTCAACGGACCCCTCCCCCAGGTGTCAGGTAATGAGTGAACTCTGGCCAGAGCGGGGGCAGGCCCAAAGTGCCCAACCAGCACCTTTCCAAGGGTCCCTCTCTCCTGCCACCACAGAGAGGAGGAATGTGGTGAAGTTGGGGGGCAGCGTGCCGTCGAGGGATCCCCGTCTAGCAGGCTACACACTGCATGATGTCCACTCTCATGGGGACACCCTTGGACAGAAAGGAGGGAGAAGAGTGGGCAAGACCGTACGGGTCTGAGGGGCAGAGCTGACGGGAGGTCTCTGTTCAGAGCTCGGTACAGCCAAGGAAAGTCTGAGTCACTCTGGGCAAAGGCCTTCCCTCTCTGGGTTTCATACCCGCCCCCTGACATCACCGGTCGATCCCACTGGATTCTGCACCCTCCTCCAGGGGCCACGAGGTTCAGGGCCCCTCCGTGGACTCAGAATCCCAGAGCCTCAGAGCAGCAGGGACGAGGAGCCCTGGCTCTAGCCCAATCCCAGCCACTGTCAGAGGGGCAACCGAGGCCAGCACTGGGGAAGGGACACGTCCAGCTGGTGGGAGGTCAGCTCAGGGGCCAGGGTGGCAGCGACAGATCCTGATCTGCCAAACTCGAGTGCCCTCTGGGAGCTGACTGCCCCAGACACGGCCCACTCAGCTACCCCAGGACACTGGGCACAAGCCTCCTCCTTTGCCGAGGAAGTGGGCCAAACGATCCCTGCCCGCGAGGCTGCAGTGAGCTGACGTGGCGGGTGCGGACGCAAGGCCTGGCACGTAGCAGGCAGCATCAGAAAACGTCAGCTACCGCTGTTCATGAGGTTCTTCTCATTATTTCCTCACAACCCTCATCACCTAAGAGTAGGGCTCCCCGGGACTCAGGCTCCCTAACCCCCCTGGGCCACAGACCCCTCCACTGCAGGCTGACCCCCAAGCTCCCCAGTCAGAGGGGAGCCTTGACCTCTCCGCCCCAGGCTGTGGGGCTGTGAGGGCCAGGGGGTCATGGGGCTGCTCCCCCTGCCTGGGCTGGGAGAGAGGATGGACAGGGTGAGGTCTGCCTGTGTGTCCCCCGGCTGAGGGCAGATGGCGTGGGGAGTGGGGAGGCAGAGGTCAGCAGGGAAGATGCGGGGCCGGCCGGCTCTGAGACCTTGGGTGAGTTGCAGGCCCCCTCCAAACCTCAGTTTCTCCACCTGTGTGGCAAGGTGAGTGCCTCCCATCGCCCGGGGCTCCCACGAAATCCCAGAACATAGTGGAGACAAACACGCTCTGTATAGGGCAGGAGGCCCGGCAAATGCACGGCTCCCGCTCGTAAGGTCCTACTCCCGCAGGATGCTCGCAGGGTCCAGGGAGTGGATGGGGGAGGTGAGGCCCGTGTTCTGACCTCCCAGGAGTGGGACGTGAGGCTTAGGCAGGGAAATCTCATTTGCAGCAGCTGATCA